TCAAGTCCTTGGAAGACCAAAGAAGACTATGACACTGAAGATTAATGGTAAGGCAGTCATCAATTTAACGAAAAATTCAATTCATCAGGGGAGAAGCAAACATATTGGATTGAAATTTCATTTCATTAGAGATGAAGTAAGGAAGAATAAGTTAAGGCTTGAGCATTGTGGCACGAAGGAACAACTGACAGATAATCCTTTGAATAATCAAAGGTTTGAAGAGTTATTGGATTGTATTAGATAATAATTCAATAAGTATGTTGTTTTCAATTATCCAATTAGGTTAGTTAGTCTGACTAACTTCTGCAACTTCTATTAATATTGTGTCTTTATAGTATTTTGTAGATCAATTGTATATTTTTATGTTGAATAAAATTTATATTCAATGTATTTCTTTATCTTTAAATTCTATTTGTAATCTATTTTGGACCCCTTTTACTAACAAAAAGAAATGAACAAAGGTCAATTAAGAAACTTTTTTAATTAAAACATTTATTCAAATGATACCCAATTTATTACTAATAATAAAAAAGTAGGAAAGTGCAATAATGAGATATTGAAAAGCACTTAACAGGTACAATAAGCTCTTAACGTGAATATAAAATATGGGTTATCAATCATATAATACTAATACTAATATTACATAATAATAATTAGTAATATGTTTTCTCTTAACAAAAAATATATTGTTGTATGTAACAAAATTGATAAAATTTATGAATTTCACATCAAATATTGAATATTGTTACCAAAATAATGTTATATGTAACAAAACTTATGAGATTTATGAATTTTGTATCTAATAACATTTTTAGAAGTAAAATGTTGAATGTCATGCAAATACTATAATTATAATAATAATAATAATAATAATAATAATAATAATAATAATAATAATGACAATATTCCCTCAATAAATAAATATATTTTAATGTCAAGAACTATTTTGAAAAAATAGAATATATTTTTTTAACAAATATGTTTCTATATTAAAATAATGATATTTATAATTTATAAATTGCAAAGATAATAATAAAGAGTCAATTGCATACTTCCTTCCGTCAAAGTATTAAAATCTTAAACATGCATTTATTTATCTCACAGTTTGATATTATTCTTTAGGATGACCTTATTGTGTATCAATAAAAATTTGGAAAAGTAACAATGTTGGTTGACACAAATTTTGTGAAGAAACCATTACAACTCTTGTATAGCTTAATGAATAATTTGCTAATCAAAATTTATATATATATATATATATATTTATTGATAATCGACCACAAAACATAACATACATTCAAAAGTAATAAATAATTATTAATTATTAAGTTTATCTTCTCATCAAATAATTGAAAAAGAACACATATGAATAACACTCAATAGATTTTTTTAATATGAATATGCATATACTTGCCAACATATTTAAAATAAATCATTATAAACAAATATTTACAAATGAATAGATATTAATATCATTTAAAAGATAATAAAAAAAATATAAATATCAAAATGTTTATATCACATTTAAAAATTATGATAATAATAAAAATATATAACTATTATATTTAAATAGATAAATTAATATTAAAAAATATCAATATTAAAATATATCAATTTGACTAGTTAATTTAATCATACAAAAATAATAAAAGCTTATCAATATTATTAAAATATTTATATCATATAATAACAATTTTAAGATAAATAACAAGAAAATAATATTATATTCTAAAAAAAGGACTTTCTTTCAATAAACATGTTTTCATATATAAAATTATAATTATAATAAGAGATATATTTTCTTAATAAAGTACTTGTATATATATTATAATACTGTAGATTAACCTAAATAAGATTTTATAATGTTAGATGGGAATAGATTTTATAATGTTGTACTGGAAATATAACAAATTAATTATGATATTGTATAATAAATGACCCATTAAATTCATAAATTTTATCATATATAAATTTTTTTCTTAGGATAAAATTTATGCATTATAATTAATAAATTTATAAATTTTATAGTTTTAAAATAATTTTTATAAATGTAAAAAATTATTGAAATTTTGAATTATAACAAATTAATTATGATATTGTAATAATTCTTATTGTAAAAAATTATTGTAAAAAATTAAAAAAATTTTAAGATTAATTTATTTACTAAAATATAATATAGAGTTCAAAGTCCTTTAATATAATATTAGTTCATAAAATTAATTATGTTAGAAGTTTTTTTTGTTTTAAAGTTCAAACATAATTATATAATAATTTTATTTTTAAAAAATATGAGAAGAAAATATATATAAATTATTATTAAATTTTATTTTTATTATGGTACTTACTAATATATTTTTAAAGATTGTGAAAATTAATTATATCAATTTTCATAACATGTTTACCATTCAAATCAAAATAAAATTATGGGTTAAGTATATTTTTAGTCCCTGTACTTTCATGTGAAATTAGAAATAACCCCTTTGTCAAAGTTTACATAAAAATAGGGATGCCAAAACGAGTCGACCAGTCCCGTTTTGGTCCGCCCAGCCTTTAGCCCACCAAAAGCGGGCGGGCTAACCCGATATAGTCATGACGGGTTGTAGACATTGGCCCGCCCGCCAAGGCGGGTTGGCGAGTTGGTCCGCCATAATTTAGAAAAAAAATTTATTTTTTAAAATAATTTTTTTAATAAATTTAATAATAAGATTATTATTTGTTTGTCAATAATTTATATATATATATATATATATATATATATATTATTTCAATTTAATAATATAAATCAATATATTATTTTAAGAAATTATAATTTAGAATAATAATAAAATTTACATAATAATAAATAACAACAAATATATATATATATATATATATATATATATATATATAACGTTAAAACTTATAAAATTTATATTTTTTATATTGAAAAATTCAAATACCTATATCTTTTTTATTTGATAAAACTTCACATTATTCTTGGTTGAGTAATTCTTACACCTTTAATTCAAGTCATAAGAATAAAAATAATCGAGTGTTTAAGATGAACAAGGAGAACAAGAGAGAAGGTTGTGTTTCAGATAAGGAAAATATTTTATGTGAGAGTGAAACTTTTTTAATTCTCTTTTTAAAATTTTTAACTTTATATATTATCTTTATAATTATTTTTTATTACAATAAAAAATTATTTTTTATTAATTAGGCGGTCAGCGGGTTGGCCGGCGGGTTAGCGAGCTTGGTGGGGCGGGCCAAAGCGGCTGATGGGTGAAAACACCAACCCGCGCCGCCGGGTCCGGCCCGTTTTGCCATCCTTACATAAAAATGAGATCCTATAATTTTGAAATGATTGAAATAGGTCCCTATTTTAAACGGCGTTAAATATATGATGACCTGTCTAACAGAGATAGTATGACCCATTCATTATTTGACACGTGTAATTATTTTAAAAAAAAGCAAAGCTCTTCTTTAAAAAAATAGAAATTATTCAACAGAGATTATTATTAAAAAAAAACAAAATTAAAAAGTATAAGCTTTTATTTTCTCCTCACGCACCAACACTCTTCAGTTCTCGTCACAACCACTTTTCATTCTCTTCTTTTCTCGTCACAATTCTCTCTTCTTTTCTCGTCACACACCAAATGTCTTTTCTTTCTTCCTCTTTCTCTGTAAAGGTTGTATGAAGTCAAAGTGACTTTGAAGTTCGAGGGTTCCATCGGTTCGTTGTGGTTCGACTGACAGTGCGATGGTGGTGCACAACGGCAGTGTGCGACAGTGGTATACCATAGGTAAGGTTTTCATTTCCAAAAATTAAGGTATGTTTTTTCATTTGCGAAACTAAATATTTATTTTGTGTTCCAGCTAAATATTAAGACTGATCACCTGAAATATAATATGCTCAGTTGTAACAACACATTCAGTTTAGATTAACATACCACACAAACTAGAGTAAGTTAAATATAAAATTCTTTATTCATATGATTTATCACAAAATATTTTTAATATTTACATTTGAATAAATAATTAAAGCACTATTCTTTTGAACATAAATTTTTTTGCAAATATCCTTTTTAACTAATTCTTGTTTCATTAGATTCCTTCTTCTCAAGTCGATTTGTATATATGGAACGTTATATTGGGAATTCTGAGTTATTTTTTATGATTTTTAGAAGTTGGACGAGAAAAATTATAAGAAATTTAACTTGAGTGAAAATACACTATAGAATCACCTTCTTTTCTGAAAAATTTTCGCTTGAGTGAAACTCACTTTTACTTGAGCAAAAATACACCCAAGACAAACTCGAATGCCCCACCACTAAAGTCACATCAAAATTCGAATGCCCACATGCAAACTTTAACTCCAAATTTATAAAAATACTCTAAATTTGGCGAAAGAAAAATTTACTTTATTTAAGATTCTGATCATATAAAAATGTTCTCCTTGTCATTAAGAGGATAATGATGTACGAGAGAGATGATGATTCTTTAAAAATGAAATTTAAAATTTTTTATTTAAATTATTTTTATCTCAAAGGTAAAAATTAAACTTTATTCCATTTAACTATGGTTTCTCTTTAAATTACTAAAATCTAAGTCCTTATAATATAATTAAAACTAATATCTTTTAAATAATTAAATTTTTAAATCAAAATTATTTTAAATAATTAAAATTTGAATCAAAATTATTTTTTACAATAAATATAATTGAAATAATTTGTTATTAACATGAAAGATTACAAAAAATAAACACATCAATTATAAACACAGAAAGTCAAATGCATGATAAAAAATAATATAAAAAGTCAATATTAAAATACCAATTGTGCACAATGTCAGTCCAATAATCCAAAATTAATGAAGACGATAAAAACAAATAAAAACTAATAGTGAAAAGCCATTATAAGTGGCTTTTTATTTTTTATAATTATTAATTTTTTTTATGTGAGAAAAAGAGAATGACATAAAATAAATTATTTTTAACAAAGAAAGTGTCGAAGAGCCAAAACAAAATGACGAGGATGGTTCCCCAATAAGAAGCCCTATACGAACCTATCAATGTTTGCCACTTGCCATCATTTTCCACAAAATTCCGAATCACTCCCACATCACATCGTGACCCAAGTTTACACCAACTACCATTTTTTCCTTTCCGTTTTCTTCTCAAATTGTTCCCATTTTCACTCTGATTCACCCCACCAAACGATGTGTTTCCCTCTGCACTTGCCAACCCCAAAATCATAGTGTCTTTCTCTGTATTCTTTCAGATCCTTTGCTCTTTTTTTTTTTTTTTTTTTCCTATTTTTAGGTAAAAGTCTATTTTTTGCTGCTGCCCTTTTGCTCTGTGATCTTGTGTGATGGTTTTGGTGAAGTGGGGTTGATAATCATTTATGAATCCTAAAGTTTGAGTTTTGATGGGTGCTTTGAGTTGAAACCCCAAATCTCTTATTAGGATGGTGTGTTTCTGAGGACCCCAGATAGGCTGGAGTGTTGGGATTTTGAAGAAGTTTGGAAATTTGTGTATGAAAAGGCTTTGGGGTGATGTTTTTGAATTTGGGTGTGTGAGTGGCTTATGGGGATCCAAGTACAATGATCAATGTTTTAGGTATTTATTTATTTGATTATTCCTTTGTGGTTATAATTTACAGGTTTTGTTTTGAATGGGGATTCAGACGATGGGATCTCAAGGTAATGGGCAACAGTCTCATTTACAGCCTTCATCTTTGTCTAGGCAAGGTTCATGGTATAATCTTACTCTTGATGAGGTTAATAGTCAATTAGGAGACTTAGGGAAGCCATTAGGGAGCATGAACCTTGATGAGCTTCTTCAAAATGTGTGGACTGCTGAAGCAAGTAAGTCTTCCGTGATAGGCACGGATAGTCAGAACATGTCGTCCTCTTCCTCGCTTCAACGGCAGGCCAGCCTAACGCTCGCTCGTGCGTTGAGTGGGAAGACAGTGGATGATGTGTGGAGAGAAATTCAGCAAGGTCAGAAGAAAAGGTACGGAGAGGAAGTGAAAATTCAGGAGGTAGAAATGACTCTTGGTGAGACTACCTTGGAAGATTTCTTGGTGCAAGCAGGCCTTTTTGCTGAAGCTTCTATCAGTCCAGCTGTGGGATTGGATACAGTGGAGTGCTCCGCTGCTCAAGGTTTCCAGCAGAAAACAGGCCTGTCATCCTCCCCTTCTATTGGCAGCTTATCGGACACCCGACTGGGCCGGAAAAGGGATGCTCCTGATGCATATGAGAAAACTCTGGAAAGGAGGTTGAGGAGGAAAATCAAGAATAGGGAATCTGCTGCTCGGTCACGAGCTCGAAAACAGGTCTAATCGTCATGAACTACATGTATTGCTTTGGTGAAATGTATACATTGTTTTACCTGTTGGGAATGTTAATTTTTGCAAGCACTTATTATTTATCAACATTTCATGGTTCAGGCTTACCATAATGAACTGGTTGGTAAGGTTTCCCGTCTAGAAGAAGAAAATGTAAAGCTAAAGAGAGAGAAGGTACCAGACCACATTCATGTTTTCTTTTCACAACTATGTTCAACATTCCTTGTGTTTGTTATATAGATATTTGTATTTTCTTTTATCAGAAAATCTATTGACTGTATTTGTGATTGAGTTCTGTTTCTTGATTGAAAAGTTTAGGATGTGTTATGTGGGTTGAATGTGTGCCTTGTATTGGATTTTGACAACATATTTGTCAAAATTCCAATATTTTAATTTTAATTGAGTAGAATTACATTTGAGATATGAATAAATGATCTTGTGTTCTATCAGTCAATGTTGTTAAATAACTGTTATAGGCCATCACAGTGCTATAACATGGTTTTTTTCAACCCCTTCACCGTGGTCAATTTATGAAGGGAGGCCCACTACGACACAATGGTGTGTTCATATGACAGAATTTTGGCCTTCTTCCAGTGATAACCTTGCCGTTAGTTATTTATTAGTATTGATGTCTCTTTCATATCAATAAGTTTGTTAGTATTTTAGGAGAATTGAGAAGATGGTTTGTTGTTTAGTAGGAGTTTAGAAAGAAGCCATAGTTGGAGATCTTGAAAGGGAAATGTGGAGGAAATTATATTGATTTTTCACATACATTACACAAGTGAACAGAAGAGCAGCCATGACTATGAATAAGAGAACAAAAACCATCTTTGCCGCTGGAGAAAAGGTGTCACCATAGTCCAAACCAAAATTTGTGTATAACCTTTGGCCACAAGACGAGTTTTGAGACGGTCAATAGTACAATCAGGACCAACTTTGATAGCAAAACCTATCTACAACCAACAACAAATTTTCCAGACTGTAATGGGACAAGTTCCCAAGTTTTACTATTTTGAAGAGTACTCATTTCATCAAGCATGGCCTGACGCAACCAGGATGGACTAAGACATCACCTACGAATTTGGGAATTGACACAGAAAAAATGGATGAAAGGCAAGTATGAAAGGTTGAGATAATCTATGGTAACTCAAAGTAGTATAATGAGGAGAGGGATTACGAGGAGAACGTATACCTTTACGAAAGACAATTGGAAGGTCAAACTCAGTTGTCAGAGCTAGAGGAGATAAAGGAGTTGGCACAAGAAGTGAGTCATTTGGTGGTTATTGGAATCGTTGTCTTTGACTATAAACTTGAAGTGGTGGTGGCGGAGGAGAATCCGAAGATGGGCTATCAAGAGAATCACACATAACAAGAATATTGACAGTAGCAGATGATGACACACACGGAAAAGAAGGACACTTAAAGTAAAAGGAAGACTCATTAAATGTGACATCTTTAGAAATAAAATAACGGTTAAGAGAAGGAGAGAAACACTTATATCCTTTTTGGGATCGAGTAAACCCTAAAAAAACACATTTGTATGATTTATGAGATAACTTATCAAGATCAGGACTAAGATTATGAACAAAACAAGTAGACCCAAAAACTTTAAGAGGTAAGGGATGTAGAGGTTCATGAGGAAATAAAAGAAAATGAGGAATTTTGTTATTTAGAACCGAAGATGACATGTGATTGATGAGATAACATGCAGTAAGAACAACATCACCCCAAAAATGTTTAAGAACCTCACCATGAATTAAAAGAGTGTGAGTTGTTTCAACTAAATGTCTATTCTTGCGCTCAGTCACCCCAATTTGTTGAGATGTATAAGCACATGAAGTCTGATGAAGAATACCATGAGAATCCAAAAAATGTTTAAAAGAATAAGAAAAGTATTTATAACCATTATCACTTTGCAAAGTTCGAATAAAAATCCCAAACTGAGTTTTAATTTCTTTAAAAAAGATTGAAATATAAAAAATAACTCAAAATGATTTTTCATTAAAAACAACCAAGTTCTTCTCGAATAATCATTAATAAAGGTAACAAAATACTAAAAATCTAAATTAGACTTAACACAACTGGGTCCCCAAATGTTAGAGTGAACTAATGCAAAAGGGGACGAAACACATTGTGAGACACTACGAAGAAATGAACTACAACTATGTTTCCCTAATTGACTTGACTCATATAATAAACTAGATAAATTGGACAAATTGGGAAAAAACTACTATAATTTGGCAAGACTAGGGTGCCCTAGCTGAGCATGTAGGAGAGATAGAGACTCCATAACTGTGCCAAGATGTGTATAACGATGAAGATAGACATGGCGAGCAGAGCGGGGCGGGGCGGGTTTTGCCTCCGTGACCCAAACCCCAACCCCGACTTTTTAACCGACCCCACCCCCAATCCCCGTCGGGGTTAGAAATTAAGTCCTCATCCCGTTCTCGTTGAGTTTCGTGTTTTCCCGCCCCGACACACCCCGTTCCATAGTATTTTTTAAAGTAATTATATATAAATTATAATAAATTAGTTTTAATATTATTCTCTTTTACATTTTATTTATTAGAAAAAATGAACATAATTTTATAATTTTTAGATTATTATTATGGATTGAGTGTATATTTTAATTTATTATATTTATATTAAAATTTTTATGTACAAAAAATATATTTGATCATTCCTTTTTCTTCCTATTATAAACTACTAATCCTTTTAAACTATTAATCCTTGAAAAAAATAAAATAAAAACAAGTTTCAACTAATGATTCTTTTAAAACAATTATGAAATACATGTTTAAAAATACTAATAAATAAGTAAACAAAGTTTCTCGAGAGAAAATAATATGAGAAAATTGTGTAATAGTGCATAACTCGTGCATAACAATACATATAAGAAAACCGCAAAATCTACTAATAATTAGAGAAAATAGAAATCAGTTGAAGAAATATTAAGAATTTACTAATATTAATCTTTTTCTTCACAATTTAAACTACTAATCCTTCAAAAGACATACTATAAAAAAAATTATGAATAACAAATATTGGATAATTTAATGATCATATTCTAAATGAGCAAGTAATGTCACTCGTCCATCAATTCACCCACATAAAATATTAAAAAATAAATAATAATATTCTATGAATAAATAAAATAATACCTTCATCACCATAATCCATCTCATTGAATAAAGTAGCATAATCATCACCTAGAGTAGTCCAATGAAGTCTATTGCAATGAGGGCTTAATATTTGACCACTAGTATTGACTGCAGATTCAAAAGCTCCAGTGGAGATAGGAATAACTAATACATCATTAGCAATTTCTTGAAGTGATGGGTATTTGACTCCATTCAACTTCCACCACATTAAAATATCAAAATCAGTTTTTCTTGGTAAAACCTCTTCCTCTAAATAATGGTCTAACTCTGTTTTAACATATGTATTTCTTGTCTTTTTTTTTTCTCAAAATATACTTGTCATATTTAGTTAATGCATCATCAACAACATTAGTACCATCCCTTGTTGGAGACTCGCCAACTGTATCTGCATTCATTTTTGTTTGATACTCATAAACCAAGTCATAATATAATTGACGAATCATCCTAACTTGCAAAAAGTATTCATAATAATATTCAAGTAATTTCATATTGTATCTAGGATCTAAGTAGTAGCGATTCCTATAATAGCATGAATCACATTCCAATACTTATCAAATTTGAACATCTTCTCAGACAATTTTTTAATCACTTCATTCGGAGATACAATCCACTTAATTAATGTCAATTTAATCTCACATATATTAGAAAAATACACATTAACAGTTGGATGTTTAGTAACAGAAAATAATTTTGTTATAAAATTGAATAATTTCAACCTTTCACAAACATCCTTTACAAATTGCCATTGTAAAATAGTTGGTAAACAAGTATACTGAGAATCTCGTTGCTTCAATCGAGTAAATACATCCTCATATATTATGACAATTTCAAGCATTTTGTATGTTGAATTCTATCTTGTTGGACAATCTAAAATCAAGCTCCTAATACAAGAGATGCGCAATTGCTTTGTTGTTTCTTCAATCTTTTCTTTCCTTTTAGGTGTTGCAGTCCAATATGCTACACTACGAATTTTTTCAACCTCATCTTTCACTACCTTTAACCCATCTTTGACTATCAAATTTAATATATGAGCACAACAACGCATGTGAAGTAAATTTTCATCTCTCAATAAAGTGTTAATTTGAAATTTACTTTTAATTTTTTCAACCATAACATCATTTGTGGTACAATTATCAAGGGTGATAGTGGACAATTTTGTATCAATATTCCAATCCATCAAACATTCAACTAATGCATTGCAAAGTCTATCACTTGTGTAAAGAGTAGAACATAAATGAACTTAACATAATAATATTCACATCAATTTAATCAATATTCAATCATTTTACCATATGAAAATAAAAATAAAAATAATATAAAATATGACTAGGAAAATTATTTGTTACCTTAAAATGTGACTCTGTGAGTTCCAAGAATCTAGTGATAGTCATATATCCTCTTTGTTGATTACTTGAAGTCCACATGTCTGATGTTATAACCACTCTTCCTTCAAGGTTATCCAATGACTTCAAAATTATTGATTTCTCAGACTTGTAGACTTTGAATATTTCTTTTTTAAAAGTATTGGTTGGAGCGCATATGAATATCTCTTGAAACCAATATAATCTACAATTGAAAGTGGATATTCATGCATAATAATTGCATGGGCAAGTTCTTTTCTTGCACGCTCTACATCATAAATTCCTGTACCCAACTCTTGTTTACCTTACATAGCTTCAAGGGTAAGAAATATTTGTCCTTTTTAACCTTCTAAAGAAATCTTGAATTGAATACAACTATTATTGTGTTGTCATAAGTGTTTCGTCTCATTTTTTGATTTTCCTCCCAAATGTTTCTTACAATTTGAATCTTTTAAAAATGTTATCAAATCTTATTTTTAAGCCAATTTGATCCTGATGATATAGTCTCATCATGCTCATTATCTCCAGTTATTGGTGGGACTTCATTTGGTGTAGGAGTAGGACCATCGAGGTTAGGATTTTCTTTTAACAATGATTCCTCTATACTTCTTGTGTTGCTTCATTATTATCCATTATATATAAAAAAAATCCCTACCACCATAAACAAGATATGTATTATTTATTGCCTAAATATTTTTTCTTCTGTACCATGTTTTCC